CTGCTCCAGAGAATAGGACTCGGAACAATGGATGCAAGTTACAGGAAACATTAGGAGGAACTTCCTGACAATGAGAGCTGTTCGGCAATGGAAGACACTCCCTCAATGGAGAATGGTGCAGTCTCCTTCCTTGGAGGTCTTTAAGCAGAGGCTGGATGGCCATCTGTTGGGGATGCTTTAATTTTGAGTTCCTGCATGGCAGGGGGTTGGACTGGATGGCCCTATGATCCTCCTCTTCCTCCCAGCCTTCTCCTCAGGAGAAAGCCAAGTAGGAGAGCAGCTTTGTAGGGTGAGCATCCGCCCTTCTCAATAATAATAATAATAATAATAATAATAATAATAATAATAAACAACTGTAAGCATAACCTTCCATGCATCTGAGGAAGCAGATCAAGGCTGCACCTGCACTGCAGAAATAATCCAGTTTGACACCTCTTTCACCATGTCTCAGTGCTATGGATGCCTGGGATTTATAGTTTGTTGTGGCACCACAGCTCTCTCACAGAGGAGACTAAATAGCTCATAAAACTACAAATCCCAGAATTCCACAACAATGAGCCATGGCAGTTAAAAATGTGTCAGACTGCATTATTTCTGCAATGCGCATTCAGTCCTAGTCTTGGAAAGGTTATGCTACAACTTTTTTTGCTCAGTTAGTCTCAAAGGTGCTGCAAGATCCCTTTGTGTACTGATATTGCTTTATATCATTTCTCATCAAATACCTATTGGAATAGAAAAGTCTATGCTGCTGCTGCTGCTGCTAATAATAATAATAATCTGCTTCAAGTCCCAATCTGGGAAAAAGGCAGAATTAATAATAACAACAATAACAACAACAATAATACCAACACCAACACTAAAGCCAATAACAGCAGCATTAAACAAATGAATTAGAGGGGCTTAGAGAATCTTTAAACCCAGCTGCCTTGAATCCTATTTTGGGAGAAAAGTGAGATCCAAGAAGTAAATAAATACATTTGATTGGTTCAGATACTGTTTTTCCTTGCTTGTTTTCGTATTTTCTTTTTATTTATTTATTTCAAGGAATTACATCCCGCCTTTCTCCCACAACAGGTATTGTTATTTGGAAGGTGAAATCCTACCTATTGGGAAGGTAGCATAAATATCCATATGCTGGGTTTTTCATTATTTGTGCTACACAACCCTTGTGCTTAATAGCAAAGTTGTGCCACTGAACAACAACATACTATATGCAACCCAATGCACAAGCAATGCAGATGTGCACCCATGAGCATTATGTAATGCATGCCAATGCACGGTGCACATCTGCACGCACAATGGCACTGCATACACAACTCCACTTCTGCAACTTGGAATTGAATGCAGGAGTTTGGAAATGTAAGATTCCAAAGGTATTCTGGCTGCATTGTATTTTATGGTGGAAGGAAAATGATCATGACCTGGCTTTCGTGCTGAAAGGAGAGCAAGGAGAGTGCCAGGCAAGCATCCCTCCGGAGAACGCGCCACAGATGGGGTGCCAAGGAGGCCTTCTTTGCCATCTGCCATATCTTAGTCAGCATGGCAGCTGGGAAAGATTCGGCCATGGATGTGCGTAAAATATTGCTGATCAAAAGGAGCCAATCCTAAAGCACTGTGTGTCTGGAAGTCATTTCAGTCACAGTTTTCTTGGTAAGATTTGTTCAATCTCTGCTTGGCCATGGAAAGACACTGAGGAACCTTGGATAAGTCACGCTCTCTCAACCTCAGAGTCAGGCAAAGGCAAACCCCCTCTGAACAAATTTTGCCAAGAAAACCCTGTGATTTTATTTGCCATAAAGGTCTTGAAAGCACACAACAACAGCAGGGTAAGGAAGGCATATATTATTGTAAATAAAGCAACATCACCAGTCTGAAGAGTTTGGAAACCTTATCATTTTACTCTACTGCTCTCCAAACCCCACAGCCGGCATGGTTAGCTCTGAAGTCAAGGGACATCGTTCAGAGAAGCAACAAGCAGCCTCTTCCTCTCTGGTTGGGCGTTTGAGGCTGTAATTGCATGGCTAGTGAACCACAGGATAGACAGAAGGAACCAAATAATGGTAGGTTTCCAAGTGTCCCCATCTATGAAGAAGATGGAGGAGGAGAAGGAGGAATCCTGTTGCATCTCTGTGTGATGTTGGTCAAGAGCTGAGGCAGATTTACACTCATAGAGTTAGGCCTTAATTGCACTATGCCACCTTGTTATAGAA